GTCTCAAAACTCAGCCGATTACTTGTGATGTCTGATCTTCGTAGCATCGCTTTGAATGATTTCGTGAAATTTCAAACATGGGAACCACCCATAAAAGATCGGCGAGAGAAAGGAGCATAAATTTAACGTGTGCTCGTCAGTCGACGTGTCGGGGAACCGTTGTGAGTTACAATCGTCTGGTTCAAAGTGCGCAAAGGGCGAAATGAGGGTGCACATTTATTACACGTATTTTAGAAGCCAACATGACCTCAAGCTGTCAAAGTAGAGCAGTGTATTGACAGATATAGTGGCAAACAATGAACACTCAGGTATCGTTAATAGTGAGTCCGTACAATTCTTTGCATCTGCGTTATACCGGGTTACTGCCGCCACAACCGACAGAGCCGGGACAGGTGGGATCAACAGGAGGTGCAAAGAACCTGACAAGTAGGGAACGTATTTCATTTTTCAGCTGGTGCGCAATCCCTATACCAATATTCAATTGACCCCTTTGAATAAACTTAAATGCTCTGAACGCAGAAACACACCAATATTGCTGATTGATACACATGAGTGAGCATTACCGATTGATGCATCTTTGGGCACCCTCTTTGCTGCTCGGAACAAATTCATTTTAAAATCGCTGTTCTGCTAAGAGTTGATCGAAACAAAAATGATTTGCGACGTCACGAATCGCGGTGATGCAAAGCTTCAGCATCATATATATTCTATATAAAGAGTGCCACTCAAGCCTTTTCACGGCCAGCAAGAGACAATCTGACCAACCGGCTAGATAGCTTTCTATACTCGCTTTTACTCAGTTTTCAAGACATGAAATAGCCGCATCAGGAGGATGATAAAAAGCCAAGTTTAGCCTCAAATTTTTCCGAAGAAGAAATTTTAATGATTCAGTGGAATTTTCTATATCCGCTCCCCATTGTGTCCCGCAGAGGAAGCTTATTGCTTTAATACTAAAATCAGTAAAATCTGGCTAGATAGTGTTTGCCTTCTAGATTTGTTTGTGCAGTACATGTGTTCCCTTCGTGGAAGCATAGATGTGTAGCCTTAATAAAGAAACAAAAAAGCGGTGTGTCACCTAGGGGTGAAGACACTCGCTCTTGAACCATGAGAGTACGGGTTCAATACATCGCACGAGAAAGAAACATTTTCTTATTTTGTTTGCGCTGAAGACATTATAGGGTCTGACCAGCCACCTGTTGCGCTGAAATCAGCGCAGTAGCTGGGCCGCCGTGCCCTACAGGAGTGTCCGCTCTTTGTGTAAGTATGTTTCTCCATGCTAGACTGTCGTATTGAATTCTAGTCGACACTTTGTACGGCGACGATCGCATTGCAGCTGACAAGACATGAATGAACGTGTGCGCCGAGCAGACGAACTGTTTCCGGAACAGCTGATTCTGCCATCACTCTTTTATGTGGACGAGTGGCCAGCTATGGTGCGATCTAGAAGCCACCGCGAGATTGCAGCACTGGTAGCACTCCCAGTGCTCAAAATGGTGGGATTGCCGGCCACCATTGAATCGTGCTAGATAATAGAAATATCAACCAATAAACGTGATAGTTATTCGTCCCTCACTTGCGTTGCTAAGGGGACAAACCCAACCGCTGCTAGGGAGGGAGTCTATAGGTACTCGTCAACGCAAAAACCTTGACATGGGTAAATATGATCTCGGTACTATTTTAAAAGTTGAACGTGATAGTGATATCCTGTCCCTTTCGCGTACTTCGAACATTTAGGGCGTACTTTTTACTGCACCAAGCATGATGTTATACGATATGTTCAAATTTTCGATGACTACAAAGTAATTACCAATTTAGAAGTAGCTTGTGCGTGAAGCTTGCTAATTTGGCTGCGTTCTGTGCATTGGATAATGTGTTTTAACTTTGGGAAAATATGCACGCGAAATCTTTTCAAACTTCCTATGCACTCACCAACGTGTTATTAGGGCAAAACGCGCAGTAACGTTTGCGCCTTTTGGAAGAATACGTAAACGACTTTAAACAATGAAGTCGTTATAATAACCACACTTTCTTATGCCCGATGGCAGTGTGCGTTTGTACCAAGCAATAATTCTGTGATGTTACCTGTTGTAATGTGAAGCCTTTTTACGATGCGAAACAACACTTTGGCTCATGTGTGTTACGCAGTGCGCACGTGCGTTCATATGAACGTACCGCAACGCATTCCCCTAGCCGCAGCTGCTAGAGCAGTGCCAAGTAGGTCACGCAGCAGCTGCGCGTTGAGGTCACGCTCCTCTCGCATGCTTCCCTCTAGGTGCGCGTTGACGGCACACTCTCTCACTCGCAGCATGCTCGCCGCAGCGCCCACAGCTGCGGGCTTCTGTGTCCGCTCTCAACACACTTCTCTCTCGCTTTACCCTCTCCACCATCCGCAGCGCTCAACCACGCGTAGAGTAGAAAGACTCTTTCGGCTAGTTTCTCTGCGAAAAAACTTATACAAAACGCAAACCGCCTCCCGTGTCTTTGCGTTTCAAACAAGCATTTATTTGAGTAAACGCTACACTGAGATCGCTTCAAATCGTTCTTCCAACTATCGCGTCAACTTTTTGTCTAATGGGTCATCGCCGTGTGCACCACTGCTACTTCGCATACAGTTATGTTTCCCTTCGGGGAGATGGTCCATAAACCAATCTATTTGCCTTTGTTCTCTCCCGTTTCATAAAATCGTATACAGTAATGTGTCCTAATCATTGCACTCAACGTGCCAATAAGTCAACGTTTTCAGTATTCACACCATCTTCCTTGTGGAAATATATTTAGCTTTTTATGTAAAATTAGGTGCTAAGAAAAAAATAAGAAAGTGAAAGAGCTTCCGAAGGAATAACTAGAAAGTACAATATCGAGCACTCATTATGTGTTTCTCGAACATACAGTATAGCCACAAACTAACCCCCGAATGCAGAGATGTTACTTGGCTCGCGACTTCAACTTAACTTGAGCAAGTCGGCGCGAAGCAAGCAGCGGACTTCAAAACGCCCAAGTCAGCCTTCGCGTTTCATAGATGCTCAGGCTGTCTTGCTTGGTCAAGTCAGGAACGAGCTTCAAAGCAGAAACACGCTGCTCGCCTGCTAACGAGGGTAATAATGAAGTTGTTCGCGTAAGGCATGCATTACATCAAAAAAAGACCGTACGTTTTAAAATAACTATAAAAATGAAGGGCGACAAGCATATTCTTGCCATTTTACGGCTAACGAGCGGCACGTAGTGCCTGCCGCCGACAGCGATGCGCAGTGTTGCTTCTGTAGAGCGTTCGTTGCCCGCTGGTTTTAGTGGCCACCCAAATGCTGGCGCGTTTCTTCATGGTTGCTTGTTTGGAGGCGTAAGTATTGAAGCGGAAATCATAAATAAAATACATTACCGGTGAGGATAAAAAAATCAAAGAAATGCATTTTATTTGGCAGTATCTTCATCTTAAATAAATTTCTCATGACTATACTGTTCGGTGAGGACACGAATTTAACCAAGCCAATGAAAGACAGAAGTCCTCAGTCTGAAAAACCAGGCATGCTCGCGTACTCCACGCCGGTCGGCTCTTAAACGCTGCGAGTAAAAATACGCTGGTGGCAGGAGCACTAATCTTTTGCTCCTAAAAAAGGGATGATAGGGAAGAACAGATTGAACAGAGAACCGATTTTTATATAGAACTCGTCAGTGGCGGCCGATGTCTTCAAATGTCGTTGTGCCGAAAAACTACTTTTGCTAAAAATGAATGGTGGAAACTGGTAACTTTAAAATGATTGCTCTTTGTTTGTCGCAGCCGAGGAAAAGGAACTGCAGCACTGTTTGTATAATCCAGACAGTGTTTATTTCAGGATATAAGTTGTGCAGTGCTGAGAAACGGAGTTTGAGTATTTTCGCAGATAGAATCACTGACACTTGTTCACTTCTGATGCGAACAGTCAAAACATCTTTTATGTCTTGTTTTCTATGTCAGCAGTACAGTACAATGAAAGGCCAAGTATAATGGCACCTTGCTTCGGCTACACATCCTCTAAATTAGATGCATGCACGGGCAACCACTCTTTAAAAAGTGCTGGGCCAAAGACACTGCATTTTCTCTGTTGTGGCCCTGGACTATGCACACACCGAGTTATATTCTGTGAATTGCTGAAACCATGCAGAGCACCACCAAAATGTCTCAATGTGCTGCAGACTTCCAATGTGCTGCATACTACGCAACTCTGTTACCTCGCATGTAATGCTGAGTAGATGCACCTTTAAGATCATACCTTCCTACAGTCGATGGGTATGAGAGAGATATTTTTTGCGATAATTGATATTCAATTCAGCTTGTTTCCGGCGCTTTGTGATACCTCCACGTTTATTTGAAACATTTGGACCGCTTTCTTCTGTCCACGCCTAATGATGAGATTTACCATGTTTTTTACTTCCGCGGATTCTTAACATGAAAGTGATTCATACAGTATTCTCCTGTAATGAATTACAATGTGCATGTCACTTTTTTTAATCCATAGTAATGACTGCAATACTAGCAGTTGCGTAGCCCATTGGGAAGATAGGGATGCTGTAAAGAGCTGAAGTTCGGCAACTCTCTGTGCTAAAGTTATGACAAGAAATATCTGGAATTGAGAAAAAATAACTACATGCATTTGAAACTTCATTATAGAGTGGGTAACTTCAGTGACACTAAGACATTCATACGTACTAAATCATATGATAATTTATTCTTTCAAACCAAAGTGCAGCACGCCATGGCCGCGGGGCATTTTCTGCAAAACGTTACGACTCTAGTCACAGAAAGCATCTTTGTAAGCGACACAATGGGTATTATAAAGTTCGCAATACCTCACCTGTTTCAACATTCACAACAAAGTGGTGAACATACTGTTCGTTTACAAGAGATCACTGATAACCCCACTCCACTGCTTTTAAGGAGTAGTGCGAGCGCTGACGCGCTGAATAATCGAACAACTTTTAGGGCAGGAATTGTTGTACCATGCACAATGGGCTAAGGGTGCATTTCATCTCCAATAATCATATATTTCCGCGGCAGAGCTTATGCCAGGCTTCAAACCGGCACCGAAGCCACTACCGTAGCCACCACCATAGCCAGCACCATAACCTCCGCCATATCCTCCGCCATAGTCTCCACCGTGGCCACCGCCATAGCCAGCACCAAAAAGTCCACCAAGGCCTCCGCCATAGCCACCACCGTAGCCTCTGCCGTATCCACCGCCATAGCCTACACCGTTTTCTCCACGATTGCCTCCACCGTAGCCTCCACCATAGCCACTACCGTAGGCACCACCGTATCTTCCACCGTACCCTCCATTATATCCACCACCATAACTTCCACTGTATCCACCCCCGTAGCCGCCGTAGTTTCTACCACCATAGCCTCCTCCGTATCCCGCACCGTTTCCTCCGCCGTATCTACCACCATATCCGCCGCCATTGCCCCCACCGTATCCGCCGGCATTGCCACCAACGTATCCACCGGCGTTACCGCCACCGTATCCGCCAGCGTTGCCGCCACCGTATCCACCAGCGTTGCCTCCCCCGTATCCGACAACGTTGCCATCGCTGTATCCAGCGGCGTTTCCTCTGCCGTAACCACCACTGTAGCCTCCACCATATCCTCCTGTGTTTCCTCCACCGTATCCACCACCGTAGCCTCCACCATATCCGCCAGCGTTGCCTCCGCCGTATCCTCCACCATAACCAGCGGCATTTCCTCCAGAGTAACCGCGACGGTAGCCTCCGCCGCCTCCACCGTAAGCTGCACCGTATCCACCACCCCCACCGCCACGACCTCCTCCGTAGCCTCTGTAGTTGCCTCCACCATAGCCGCCTGGTCCGTATGCTTGGCCGGCAAGTGTTACCGTAGTTGTAACACAGAGGAACACGGCAAGGACCTGCACAAAAAGTTGCACGTATATTGTACCGCAATGCCACTTACAGCAGAAATATAATTTGTGACTTGTCCTGAGACGCTCGTGAAATACGACCTTTCAGATTTCATCAAATAAAAGCCCGCCGTGAATTCTGCGTTATCGATGTTTAACTAATCAGCCACGGTAGCTGCGCTACTGCAGTTATTATACGAGTGATCGATCACGGGAGCATTACTTTTTATTATTGCTACACGCAAAGTGAATTCGGTAACTACGTACGACAATATCACAAAATATCACTCGCTGCTTATGTTTCATGTTGTGAAGCATTCCCTGCACATAGTCGCAAATTAAAATAATCTGTAGTAAAAAAAATTCTTGCCACTGAACACGTGTTCTTTACTTCGAACGGCACCATTTGACAAGTATTTCAACAAAAGACGAATTGAAGAATTGCACGGCAATAAAGCGCAACATATTCAATATAAAGAAAGAAAAAGGCAGAAGCCATTCCAAACTACGGCTCCATTCAGACATCACGCAACCTATAAATAAATAAAATAGACTGCTTGCATTTCCCCATGGTGAAAATAATTTCTACCAAAAGTTTCATGGCTCTTGTGGATCGGTAGTCCAGAGATTCTTGAGTATGCTACGTTCTGTGAGGCGGCATGCGCTGCTTTTATACAAAGCTCTTACACAGCTCCTCTCCACATGAGAGATCATGGTGACCATTCGGGGCCGTCGGGCAAGAACAATGCACGACTGCGATCTTGTATTTCAGGGTTCTCTTGCTTTTTTTGACTTTACTACATGAAAGATACGACTGGCACTCGTTGCAGTATCGCACCAAATCTCTCCCCTTTACTCGCGCAACGGCAATCACTCCGGGTGTTGCGCGAATCACAAAAGCTGCAACTAAGATTCCGGTTTCGAAAGAAACACCCACAACGTTTTTCTGGAACGAACGAACGTATGTCTGTACCCCATGTGATAACGTGAGTGCTTTTGAGTGCTGAGTATGTCGCATTCTGAAGAGAGTTGAATATACCCTAGCGATCGACCCGGAAATCTATTTTCTGGTGCTTTTAACGTCACGCCACGTGCGTGTTCGCCGGAATAGAGCAAAGAACCGCACCTTTAGAGTACCTTCTTCTACGCAGGCACGCATTTTGCTTTGCTAAGAGGTACCGTTTTAGAGGCACCGTTTTAGCATAAAAGAAGCTGTAGATTAGCGGGCTAGCTCTGTAAAAGCAATGAGAAAGAAGATTACTTTGATAGCAACCGCCTAGAAATGTCTTTCCGTGGACGGTCACGCTTTCTGAAGTGCATTCGGGATTCATGGAAGAATGAGAACGTGATGTAGCTTCACGTCTTTTCCTGCACTTTCTTATCAAGCAGAAATTATTCGTTGGCAATGTCTGTATCATTTACTTTGAATGTAGACAGTAGTATTATTTGCATGATGTGAGAAGCTGCGCCTAGTATATATAGTCTATCTTTCTGACGAACGTTAAGTGTTACCAATCGAAACGTGCTCTGAAATCCTGGTTTGCAACTGTCGCTACATCTTCCTGCACGGTGGCTTTCTTATCATGCTTCGAGTGCCACAAAGCCATGGAGGCATTTTGTTTTATCGAACTTCCTGTTGTTTTTGTGAATATATGCATTCGAGTTTGATGAACGCATAGTTTGCCGCAATTTTTCAAGTTTTAAAGATTTCCTTAACGTTAGTAGAAATTATGTGTTTATCTTCCTAAAACCCTTGAGCTGTAATTAGGGTTTTAAGCGCACAGTATTCTATCTTTCCGCATTAAACAGTCCTCTTCCGGCAGTTATTCAAGCAAAGGCTACGTTGCTGTCACAGAGTGTGCTACAGTGAACATATAAGAGATGTCAAGTGTTGAGCAGTTATACATTGCCATCTCACCACGCGATAAATGAGGAACTGTTTATTAACAAAATATTGTGTTCGTGGCGATCAAAACAAGTTGCTCAGATGCAGAGCCAAGTCGGACTTGAGGCTTGCTTTTAGACCCGTCAGACAGGCATTCAGACCATCAGTTAAAAAAATCGAATGTTTAAAAATGTCTGCATGTAATTTCTTTCTAAATTCTGCCGACTGTGCAAGCGGCGGCATGTACCACGAATGATCCAGACTGACGTTTGGAGAACGACAGTCTCTTGCTGGTGGAGGTTGCCTCTTTATTGCCGATTGACAATTCCAATACCTTCCTCCAACTTTTCGAATGGTCACTCGTGCTGTTTTCTTAACCAATGAGTTCAAGTGCACTGCTTGCTTTTTTTATCCAATTAATTACAAGCTTTCCAAAATCACATTCTCAATTTGTTGGGCTCAATTTCATTTCGCCCTCATAACTGACATGCGATAGTGTTGGGTTATTAGGTCACATATGGTCATAGCTATGTCGTCGTTCTCGTAGCCAGCGTATTTTGCAAGTCACCTATGGACAATTTTTGCATAGTATTTCATATTTAAATAGATTTTTTTCACTGCATAGTTTCTTCATCAATGGCACAGTATTTTATCATTGTATCTGTATTTAGTCCGTACACTTTGTTCTTAGGTACATTAATGTATTTTTCTTCGTAAATTTTGTTATTACGAGTGATCTGATGAAGCAATTTTTAATTTTTGTACATAAGAAATGTTACCACAACTTTTTTTTTCTTTTACCTGCTTTGCTAAAATATAGCTATAGGTATCCTTTTCCCGGACCTTCAACCATCCTTAGGCAATAGGTCTTAAAGTGTTTCTTATCTGTATATAGAATATGAAATAAACATTCCTAACATTATAAACATCTATAAATGTAACACCTGGTTTCCTACATACATCCGTTCAAGCTCTCTTGTTTATTCACATTTATAGAAACAATTTTCTCAGCCGTTTCAAAGCCCAAGTCCGTATCTGTGCTAACGACTGTGTAATCTTCCGGGCTTATCCTAATTTACTTTTTCTAAAGATCACATGACACTTCAGGATTCTGTAAATGAATATTTACGGCATATACATTTCGGCAGCCCCCTCGAAGGCGCTCGGTGGCCCATTATATAAAGTACTTTCTCCCCAGATCCCTAGATCGATGAATGCGTGTGAACTGCGCTGTCCTATAACAGGTCTTGAAGCACTTTCTAGCGTTATTATGCCAGCAGCGCCCTCAACATACACACATACGCAACACAAACACTTGTACGGTTCTAATCCGGCGATTCATGCTTCGAGCAAGCGGGGCGTGATGAATGTGTCATGTCGCCGCTCCAGCCGACCACCATGCTGTCGAACAGCAGTCGCAAAGTAGGCGGCGCCAATGGCATTGATTGATTTGTGGGGTTTAACGTCCCAAAACCACCATATGATTATGAGAGACGCCGTAGTGGAGGGCTCCGGAAATTTCGACCACCTGGGGTTCTTTAACGTGCGCCCAAATCTGAGCACACGGGCCTACAACATTTCCGCCTCCATCGGAAATGCAGCCGCCGCAGCCGGGAATCGAACCCGCGACCTGCGGGTCAGCAGCCGAGTGCCTTAGCCACTAGACCACCGCGGCGGGGCGGCGCCAATGGCATGGGCCTGGATACCTGGCGCTGATTTGAGCGTCGCGGACCCTTTTTCCAGAGACGCACAGCGTGATGGTCCGCCATTTGTTTTCGGCGAAAACTCGGTGTTGCGGCCTTTCCTATGGCACAAAGGCGCTCCGTGTCACATTCCTGCTCTGGTCCCAGCAATAGCAGGGCTCCGTCAAGTAATTGCAGTCACGTACCTTTGAGTACATGAAAACCAGCCGGGAGTCTTCACGCTCCTCCTTATCTCTACAAAGTGACGCGGCTGCCTTTTTTCGGTCCTCGGCGCCTGCGGCAAAGGAGGGCTCGCCGATCGCTACAACTCTTACTGCGGCGCGACGTTTAGTAAGCTGAAAAAGCGCAAAGCTGAATGTCGGTGAAGATGCCAATTTCAGTTTAGCGCACCTAACCCCATGGCGTCATGAAGTTTCAAGGCGTCTACATCGTCTTACTTAGGTTCTGAGCGATAAAATTGATGTACATTGTCATCTGTGGATGCCATAGACCTGGCATAGGAAGTTTCAGAAAATATCATGAAGCGTGCGTCGTGAAAAGACCAAAAAACATTTAGAAATGTCTTACGTCTCACGCAGAGATTTCGGTACAAAACTTATGACTGAAATTTCAACCTTGATTTTTCATGGTAATAGTGAACTTATGACAGGGAAACTGTGTGGCATTAGAGTTCTCATAGTGCAGCTTATTCATCTAAACCAAGTCAATGTTTCTTTTTGGCGTCTCTTTAAAAAATCATGGCGTTCAGTAGGGTGAGCACCTCGACAACGTAACCATTGACACTTCTCCGTCACTCAGGTTACCAGAACCACATCACTCAATTGGTGGGAAAGGGTTTGCTGAAACAGACTAGCCAAAAACACTCGTAGCGACTTGCCTCAATACAGCGAAAATTATGATAACGGACATGAACGCAGCCTATTGAGGGAGGGGGGGGGCGCTTGCGTGGTTCGATTCCACACCCCCAAAACTTTTCAGTTTAGTTACATACATATATTGTGAGCTCCGGCTCACACACGTGGATGCTGATATATATTGATGAAGAAGTTGTACAAATAATGATGATATGTATAAGTGACTAAGAAGAGTCAACAAATGCGCTCGCATGTACACGTGCGCAAATTAGATCAAAAAGTGAGGTGGACACTTGAGATTAAAAAGTTGGCAGTGTATAAAGTGGATGCAGCAGTCCCAGGACCGAGTTGACTGGCGGAACATGGGAGAGGGCTTTGTTCTGCAGTGAACGCGGGCAGACTGAGCATGAGGATGATGGCAATGATGATGATGATGATGATGATGTTGATCATGATACCCGTACACATACAAGGGCACACACGAACATAAAGTATAGATGAAAACCCTCACCCCGATAACATATACTGCCCACGCCCTTGGAAACTGTTCTGGTCTACATTATTAGGCCATGGTTTCAATTGATAAATTGTGTCTATGCTACAAAATTACAGCTACCTTCCATTGCCTATCTCTGTAAAAATTAAAAAGAAATGTTAATAATTGAAAAAAAAACTTTCTGGCTGCTGGCCTGCCAGAAAATTCTTGTTTCGCAACGTTTCCCGTTTTCGCTTTTTCTGGCAATTCACAGTTGTAGTCCGTTAAAAATAGAGACAATTTTTGTGAAAGGGACAGAAAGTTTCTGTTGCGCTACATTTTCAATTGTTACTTTTTCAGTCTTATTACATGTTTTTACAGCCATATTACAGGCTCACCATAATGAAACATTTTTATGAATTTGACAGAACATTTTACAGTATATTTTGTTTTCCTTTCTTTCTGCAATTTAAAGGTTTTCCAGTGTTCAGCTAATAGTTTATAGATGTCTCTTAATTGACGTCTTCTTAAGCACCAATGAGAGAAATTCAGTTAAACTCCATTTTTCATCCGTTCACAGAACCGATTTTTAAAGACGATAGCCTTTCTTGGGGACCTTCAGCGGAAAAATTTTTTATCTGTCTGTCTGTACTTTTGTCTATTTGTCTGCCCTTAACGATACCTAAAATGGATTTTAACGTC